AAAAAAAAAAAAAGGAAGTGTGGTATACCTGAATGCTTCTAATTCCTTTAGATGCTTATGCTGTGCTTTGAGTGTTGTTTCAAGTTCTAATTCCGTTTGTGCAAGTTCATTTTTTAGTTCAGCAACTACCATTTTTTCTGAACTCAGGTGTTCTTGAAGTTCACTTGCTTTGTCTTTCATATTGCTGAGCTCCACTTGCATCTCCAGAATTTGAGACTGCTTCTGCTGCATAGTATATTCCATAAGTTCTAAAGAAAAAATGATCAATATTTATAATTTAACCTAGTAACTCCTATTTGGTTTATAAATATTTTATTGATAAGAACTGATTTGTAACATAGGAGATAACTGCAAAGCAATCATGAAAGGATTACAGTCCCCAAAGTTTAATACAAATAAACTTTATGCATGTTTTCCTCATAGTGGTAGTAGCCAAGATTTCAGAAGTATTTATGAAAATAATAAAAGTTTAACAACAGGGGCTGGGGTTGTGGCTCAGTGGTAGAGTGCTTGTCTAGCATGCATGAGGCACTGGGTTTTATCCTCAGCACCACGTAAATGTAAAAACAAAGATATTGTGTCCACCTAAAACTAAAATATATAAAAAAATTTAAAAAAATTTCTTTATTTATTAATTTTAGTTGTAGATGGACACAATACTTTTATTTATTTATTTTTATGTGGTGCTGGTGATTGAACCCAGTGCCTCACTCAGTTAGCCACAACCGCAGCCCTCCAAGAACTTTTGAAAATCACACATAGTACTTGTAGGCGTTATTCATGTATCTATGACTATAATGGTTGCTTCTTTTGTTCAGCCTCTCTTTGCAGACAGTCCTTAGGAACTTTACTTTTATAATTGTTCCAGAAATAGAAGTCCAAACTCCAGTTGAGATCTTGTTTTTTTCAATAAAAAGGAACCAAAACCTCCATAATACACATCTGTTACAATGAAAACAAACTCAAGAATTAAAATCTCGGCCAGGTGTGGTGGTGCAAGCCTGTAATCCTAGTGTCGTAGGAGGATCATGAGTTCAAAGCCAGCCTCAGGAATGGTGAGGTGCTAAGCAACTCAGTGAGACTCTGTCTTTACATAAAATATAAAAGAGGGCTCAGTGGTTGAGTTCAATCCCCGAACTAAAATCTTAGACATGTTAAATAAGAACATGGTTACAAAATATGCATCAGGATCCTGTTTTTATGACAAAAAATATACTTATGTACATATGCACATTGAAAAGGTCTGTAGACATATTTACTTGGGTGTTAAATAGTCATTATTTTAGGATTTATGTGACTCAAGATGTGATTTTACTCTCTTGTTTTTCTATCCCACCATAAATATGTAACACTATATATTTAATAAGAAAAGTTTTTACTTAAAATTTTAGCAAAGTTCATCAACAGACATTACAATTAGTAAGAATGATATTACAAGAAGGACATAACATTGACTTTAGATGATAATCATGTTAATTTAGCTTTTAAAACTATTTCTTAGGGGTAGAGGTTAATAATTTACACATATAAACATGAATCTACAGAGATAAGACTTCAATAGCATTCTATATAAACAATATTAATTCCCTTTAAAACTTTTCAATTAAGCCTTTGTCTACAGGGATATGTTTAATTTAACTTATTATACCTGTTTTCTCTGAAGAATTTTAACATGATTCAGCTTTTCAATGACAAATTTTGAGCTTGTGTTGTGATTTTAAAGTCTGCAAAAGCACAGGTGTTTCTATCACTACTACATGAAACAGTTACTAAAGATGCATGTGTCCTCAATAGATACGATAAGAATTTAATAACGATTTCCATTTATAGTTAAATTAAATAGACTTTTATCAGAAAGTGGGGAAAAGATATAAGCAAGCATATCACAAAAACAATAATCCAAATAGTTGATAATCATATGAAAAAGCACTAAGCCACTTGAATAATTAAAATCAATTAAAACTACAATTATGTACTGCATGCCAAATGGATTGGCAGCAAAGGTCTAACAATACCGGAAAGTTGGCAAAGTTGTATATAACACAACTCTCACATACTGCTAGTGCATGCACAAATTGACAAAACTACTTTTTAAAAAAATATTTATTTTTTAGTTGTAGTTGGGCACAATATCTTTATTTTTAATTTATTTTTATGTGGTGCTGAGGATCAAACCCAGGGCCTCCAATGTGCTAGGTGAGCACTCTACCTGTGAGCCACAACTGCAGCCCCTAACAAAACTACTCTTTAAAATAGTAAAATAGTTTGGTGTTCTCTAATAAATTTAAAGATATGAATCCTATGACCCAGCAATTTCACTCCTAGAAAGACATAAGTACAATTGCATCAGAAACACTTTGCAACAGTGTCCACAACAGCATTGACTCTAATAGCTAAAAAGCAGAAACAATCTAAATCTAATCAACTACAGAATGAAATATTATATAAGTTGTAGAATATCCAAACAAGAGAATTCTATATGGTAACAAAAATGAACTACAGATAAATGCAGTAAGTTGGGATAATTCAGGAAGGTGACAGAAGCAAGACATAAAATATACAGATAAAGTTCGAAAATAGAAAAACTAACATATGATTTTGGAATATATAAATTAGTAATAAAACTAAAGAAAAATCAGGATAACCTCTAAGTTTCTAAAGAGGGGGCAGCTTTAGGATGTGGGCAATGTTCTACTTCTTAACACAAGCAATGTCTCCTCCACAGACATTCATATAATAATGTTATACTGGGGCTGGAGTTGTGGCTCAGCAGTAGAGTGCTTGCCTAGCATGTGCGAGGCCCTGGGTTCAATCCTCAGCACCACATAAAATAAATAAATTAAAAAAAAAAGGTATTAAGTCCAACTACAACTAAAAAATAAATATTAAAAAAAATTAAAAAAATAATGTCATACTGAAGAGTTGAATTGTTCACTTTTCTGTATGTTGTTATAGTTAAATTTTTAAAAAGAGGGATTAAAAAAGAAATGGCTACTTTCATTATGGATTTCCTTTTCCTTTAGGTAGTTATCCTCTAGTATGTAAAACATCTTTCTTAATGTACAGCTTTAAGAGAGTTCAACATCTCTAGCAATTAGAGAAATGCAAATCAAAACTACTCTAAGATTTCATCTTACTCCTGTCAGAATGGCAATCAATCATCAAGAATACAGGCAACAACAAATGTTGTTGAGGATGTGGTGGAAAAGGCATACTCATACATTGCTGGAGGGACTGCAAATTGGTGCAACCACTATGGAAAGCAGTATGGAGATTCCTCAGAAAACTGGGAATGGAACCATCCTTTGACCCAGCTATCCCATTCCTTGGTTTATATACCCAAAGGACTTAAAGTCAGCACCCTATATAGTGATGCAGCTGTATCAATGTTTATAGCAGCTCAATTCACAATAGCTTATCTATGGAACCAACCTAGGTGTCAATCAACAGATGAATGGATAAAGAAAATGTGGTATATATACTTAATGGAATATTACTCAGAGCTTTAAAGAAGAGTAAAATTATGGCATTTGCCCGAAAATGGTTCGAGCAGGAGAATATCATGGTAAGCAAAATAAGCCAATCCCATAAAACCAAAGGCCAAATGTTTTCTCTAATTTGTGAATGCTAATTCACAATAAGGTGGGGGGTAGTAGGGAAGAATAGGGTTACCTTAGATTAGGTAGAGGGAAGTGATGGGAGAAGAGGGGAGGAAATGTGGGGATAGGAAAGATAGTAGAATGAAACAGATATTATTACTGTATGTATATATGTGACTACATGACCAATATGATTCTTCAACATGTATACTCAGAAAAATGAGAAATTATATCCCATCTATGCATGATATATCAAAGTGCATAAATGCATTCTACTGTCATGTATAACTAATTAAAACAAACAAACAAACAAACAAACAAAAAGAGACCATGAAATTAATTTGTTTAACTTGGTCAAGGTAAGGCTACTGTATTTAAAATTAGATAGTTATTTAAAACCAATTTGACAATCCTCTAGCCACTACAGTAATTAATACGATTAATGTTATGAAAATGAGAAATCAATACCACTAAAAGGAAATGTTTTAACTGAGTAATAATAATGTAGAGTGAAATATTTTCACCCATTTGTGAAATTATATGAATCTGTTTTGTAACATACCTAGGTTTGGTTTATCATTTTCTTGTTCTCTTTTCAAGGTCATTTTCTTGTCATTAATTTGAGCACGTAGTACTTCAATTTCAGATAATAAGCTTCTTCTGTCTATTTCTTGGAGATATTCCATAGCTGCTTGATATTCAATACCCTTTTTGTAACAAAGGAAAAGAAAAAAATCAAGTGAAGAGAGTTGTAAAGATAATAAAATTAACAACCAGAAGTCTGAAGAACAAATGAACTACACATGCTGAAGTTTTTTTCTTTTAAAAATTTCATTATTTTTCTTGTCTAAAATATGGGAAGATTTCTTGCAGATAGATGCTTCTTTACTCTAAATACTGTAGTGTATTTCCTAAAAATAAGAGTATTCTTTTACATAACTGCAGTACAATGATCAAAAGAGTAATTAACTTATCATAATATTACCTGGTATAGAGAGTTTATTCAAATTTTGCCAAAAGTTCTTTAAGGAAAAAAATGTGATTCATTCCTTTGTCTTTTGTGAGCTTAAATTTTTTGAAGAGTACAGACAGGTTATTTTGTTACATGTCCATTAATTTAAAAAAACTTTTTTGGTCTAATGTAAGTCAAAGTACTTGAGGTGTTCAGCCAGCTTTCCCCAATAATAGCTTATATAATCAGAGCACATTATCAAAACTAAGAAACTGACATGGATAAAATTCTATTTAAATTATAGGTTTTAATAAAATTTCATTTGTTTACATGTACTCATTTTTTCTCTTGGCATACAGTACTATGAAATTTCATCACTTGAACAGGTTCATATATATGTACCACAATAAGAGGACATATTATTTCAATCACCACAGAGACTACTCTGTAGTCCTACCCTCTCTCCCTAATCCTAACCTCTGGCAACTACTAATATGTTCTCTATCACTATAATTTTGTCATTTTTAGAAGTTACATAACACACAGGAAGTTTAGGGTACTGATTGTTCCTTTTTAAATTGTTGAATAGTATTTCATTGTATGAATATATCACAGTTTCTCCATCTACTCACTTACTGGAAGACATCTGGGTTGTTTCAAGTATTGGTTATTACAAGGAAAACTACTGTGAACATTCATAAATAGGTTCATAAATAGACACAAGTTTTCATTTCTGTTGATTAAATATCTACAAGTGTGACTGCTAGGCTATGTAACAGATGTACGTTTACCTTAACAAGACACTGCCAGATTTAGTTTCCAGGGTAGCAGTCCTACTTTACACTGCCTACCAGCAATGTATGTGACATGCAGTTTCTCTCCCTCTTTACCAGCACTTGGTGGTGTCACTATTTTTTATTGTGCCCAGTCTAATAGATGAATGGTGGCCCCAGTTGGTTGTGGTCTCATATTTTCCCAAGTAGATTCTGATTATGCATTTTACAGAAGTACAACAAATTAATTCTTTCATATTAGGAAGTACTCGATGTCTTTTTTTCCTCATTACTGGTAATATTGATTCTGATCATTTGGATGGGGTTTGCAAGGTTTCTCCAGTGTAAAGTTACTGTTTTTCCTTTTGTAGTTAAAAATGATCTTTTAGGAATTTTACTTTTCTTATCAACTTTTTCACATTAGTTTTAGCATCCACTGTTGATTATTGCTGAATTGATCGTTACTATATTGTTGAATAAAGTATGATCTTATAATTCCTTCGTTCCTTATACATTTAATAGCTGGCATTCAACTGTGATAAGATATATCCATCTATATGAGCTCATGAATTCTTATTTTACTCTTAACTTTAAAATATGTCACTTTCATTTTGTTTGATCTTTTAATTTTTTAATTTTGGCCAGTGAGGGAACCTTCAACAGGCTTCTGTGACCTTCTGACATATTCCCTTATTTCTTTGAATAATTCTTAAAATGCTGGCAAAATGAGGGATTCCAGGTTTACCTTATTGTCTTCCTAACTCTATTCTTGGAATCACCAGATTCAAAAGGATTCCTGATACATAAGTCCTGGGTACTAAGTATTGTGAGAAGATTAAAAAAAAATTTTGTTTTAGTTGTAGATGGACACAAAACCTTTAATTAATTAATTTATTTATATGTGGTGCTAAGGATCTAACCCAGCAATGTACACTGAGTTGCAACCCCAGCCCTGAGAGAAGATTTTTAACTACTGATTTGATTCTGTTGTAGGTCTTTTTCAGGTATTCTATTTCTTCCTGCATGAATTTTGATAAGTGATTTTTTTTTAAAAATTTCACCTCAATTTTTTTATTTGTATAAATAAAATAATTTATAATATTTTGTTATTTTATTTGTTGCATGTTTAATTATGATCTCATCTTCATTTATAACATTTAAAAATCATAATGAATTCTCCAGAAAAGATTTTCTTATTAGCATTTTCAAGGAACCAATTTTTAATGTTTTATCCTCTATATTGTACTGGTTATACATTTCATTAATGTTTTTTACTTTATTATAGTTAATCTTCATTATTAATGGATCCTGTGTTTTCAGATTTGTCTACCTGATAAAAAGTTTTTGTAACCCTCAAATCAATACTTGTATTGCTTTGTCAGACATAGTTAGAGTAGTAAAAAATTTAAATTTCCTCATGCATATGTTCCTGGCTGAGTTAAACAAGGGCATACTCTACCTTTGTATTTTGGCTCTCATATTGTACACAAATGTCCTGTTTAGTAACTTGTTTTTCCATATTGTGCTTTTAATTTATGATTTCATGGATTTAAATGGCCCACAAGTGAAGGGCTTGGTGTTCCTAAGTGCAAGAAATCTGTGACGTGCTCTAAGGAGAAAAGTGCGTTAGATAAGCTTCTGTATGATTGCTCTTGGCCGTGTTAAACATTAATGAATAATATACAACAAAGAAGGTATCTTTTTTCTTTTTTTAATGGCACTGAGTACTGAGCCCAGGGTCAAGAGTATGCTAGGCAAGCATTCTACCACATCTCTTCTCCCCTCTCATATAAGATTTCTTTAAACACAACCACACAGAAAATAAGATCATGTATTGATTGGTTGATGAAAATATTGTGATTGAGGCTTGCAGTAACCTATTCCTGTATTTCCCACAGGAGCAATGACTTCTCGTAGGTTTATAAAATATAACTACTGCAAATAATGAGAAGTGACTGTATCTTATTCCTTCTCTTTTCTTTAGGTTTTACTGCTCTTTCTAACTTTCCAAGTTTGAGAACTATCTCATTAATTTTAAGTTTTTCTTACTTTCTAATATAAGACAAAGGTAATGTTCTTCTCCTAAATACTCTTAGTGGCCCCTGTTAAAAATGCTAATCTTCATACTTAAATTAAGACTCTAAAACAATCAGCAACTGATTTTCTTATTACTATTAAAGATAGTATTCTTTAAAATAAAATTTTGTTTTGATACCTGTTCTTGTATTCGCTGTTCCAAACACTTTAATAATCCAACTGCATCTTTAGTGCCTAGAGCTGTCAGTTCAGTCTGAAATGTAGCCAGCAAAACATTGCACTCCTTTAAGAAAACATGTTGGAGAGCAAGTAGAAATTCCCCTCGCCAGTCCGGGAGGCTCTCTTGAGATTGAGAATTATCATAAACCTAGCAGAGTACAAATAACTAAAGTTAGGTTTCAAATAAGCATGTTTTTAAAACATTCTACTAACCAAAATAGGTATTTAAAAGAACGTATGTATTTTTGAGTCTGAAAATACATACAATAATTTATGTGAAAATTCATATAAAAAAGAATTTAATTTACAAAGTTCATTACTGTCATTAAAAATAACAATGCTACATAGAATATAATATTCTTTGAGTACCTCAGATTCCCTTTGCACTTGTATTTTGGTAATTATATCCTTAAGAGATGAGATGATATTAAGGTAAGCTCTTCTCTCTTCTAGCCAAAATTCTGAAACTTGTTGAATAGAATGATCTTCTCCATCACCAGATGGTGACTCAGTGAGAGAAAGCACCTGCATGCCCTCATTATGAACAGCTCTCAGTAATCCCTAGAAACCAAAATCCAAAAGCCAAAGTTATGACAACTTCTCCAAATACTGAAAAAATGAGAGCTACAAAGACAAATAAATATCAAGCAATATAGCATTATGAAGCAAAATAGATTTAGAAAAGCAACTGCAGAAAAGAAACTCCAGGCACCTTTACTAAATGCCTTCTTCCTGTGGAGAGCTAAGTCAATTGCAATAGATGGTCTATGATTTCCATAGCTTTCATCTCTAAGTTCCTTCAGTTTAGCTAATGTACTGTTCCCAGATTTAATGACTAGCCATTGATTTGACCAAAAGAAATACTGTGAGAAAAACTTCCATTCCTTGAGACTGCTTTTATAATTTTGGCAATCAAAAACACCAATAATAAAAATTATTTTTTTAAATCTTCATAACATAATTATTTAATATATTGTATTTTATTATCTGTGGAATATGGGAATAAAATGAAATAGATTCTCATGGATTTTTTTTTTCCTTTAAGTCATTTATTTTAGCCTGTTTTCATTTGAAGCATGAGGTGAGTGTTACCCTTTGCTTCTATTTGATGGGTGGACTGTACTAGACTTTGTTTGAGCAACCAGGGATGCTACTTCCAACATCCTTTTTCCTCAATATCTAGTTAACAGAGAATTGACAAAAAGATCTGGTCACTAATCCTGGAAGAAAGGAGGGGGTGGAGGGCAGCATATTTTCTCCCTCTCTCTCTCCCTTCCTTCGATCTTTCTTGCTATACAGTTTTTTCAGAGATCCAGTATATAACTTTAAATAAACTACTATGTTCAACATAGAAATTATACAGGCTAAGTTTACTAAAATATATTATGTTTCAGTAATATTTATCTTTTAGTACCTTTATTTTCTTTGGAAATGATTCTGTTAAATTTTCACCTTCTTCTCCTCGTCCTTCTGATGCTGTGTCAAATCCCTGATTTTGTGTAAGATAAACTCCCTGATTCCAGTCTGATCCAGAATCTAAAATAAAGAAAACAATCATTTATTGTTAAACAAACAAACAAACAAAAATAAAAAAAGATACCCTCTCCAAACAAAAATAACACGTTTTAATCAAATACTATAAACATTCCAGAATTTTACATAACTTACCACTGGAATATATTTCTCTAGTTTGGTAAGCATTAGAATACGTTAGTTCAGGCATCAAGGATCCCTAATTAGAAAAAAGAAACAACATACATAAATATTTTTGTTTTAATAAAAACAGAACCCAATGAACTATTTTGCTGTTATAATGCTGTAAAAAGAAAAAAAAGGAAAGAAAAGAAAAAAACTCAATCTAAGCATACTTGAAATGAAACTATCTATAATTTATAACAAGTCTATAATTTTTTCCTTATGGATATTACCATAGTAAGAAGAGATAGTTATTATTTAAGGAACCATAACAAGTTGTAAATTTACATAAGAACTCTAGGAATACAATGGGGAGATTTAAATTCTAATAGTATAAAGAATAGATATTTCCCAAATTTCTTTTAAAATTTTTGCTTAAATTTTGTTGACAACAGTGGAAACTCCCCCCACATGACAACAACAAAATAAATACCTCTTTAGGTCTCAGACACTGTATCACTGCCTTCAATGTACCACACTCTTCTGTCAGTAACTCAACAGCAACATAATGTTCCTTCTTTAAAGTTTCAGTTTCTGAAATATGTCTGGATTCCATATCCAAAATTTCAGCGGCATGAAGTTCTTGTATGTGTTCAATTCTTTCAGTAAATTGCCTAATTATTTCAGAGACTTTTTCTGAGGAACAGCTAGTCTGTACATCAATTTGAATTCCTGCATTTTTAACAAGAATTTGTGGAGTCTGGTTGCTCATGTTGACCTTGAGTATTTGGTCCGTTTGGGATGCAGTGTTTTTACCTACTTCAATAGGAAGTGGCTCTAAGCAGATGTTTCTGTTTATTGGTACTTCAGACTCATCCTCTTTTAATAAGAAGTGGGATAATTTCTTTTTTTCCTCATCAAGTTGATTCTTAACTTGGCTTAAATCTCTCTGAAGAGATGCCATATTGGTCTCTTTTACCTGAAATACAGATGAATTAAGTTGAAAATCTTGCACATCAAATGAGGAACTTACAGTGGAGAGGGAAAGAGTATAATTTCATTTATATGTTCACTTGCCTCAGAATAATAGGAAAAACACTTTGGAAACTGTAATACACATATACTTTTGCATGTATGTATGGTCACAGGTTACTACAAAATTGAAATAATTTTATTAGCCTTTACTTTTGTTTCTCAAGGGATTTAAGTTCTCTGTAACAGCAGTTTTCCGCTTCCTTTACTAAAAGACTAGAGATTAAAAGCATTCTTCTAATATAAAGATTCCTAGCAAAACAAGCAAGGAGATGGTGAATAGATTTATAACAATGGAATTTTTCAAAAAGACTTGTAAATTTAGTCTAAGTTATGGCTTTGGACTTGTTTCTATAGGACATTTTGAAAGGGAATTAAGATGGGTAGAAATGAATGAATTAGGAGTTATGTTACTTGTCTTACCAAAAGCTCTTTTTGAAGTTTTTCTGTCCTTTTTTTGAAAGTGGCAAGTTCTTCTTTGGTAGCCACCAACTCGATTCTAAGAGCCTCAAGTTCTTCAAAAAATCCACTTTCTCCACTGGCATTTATTAACTCAGTAGTTGTCTGGATAACAGTAGAAAACATAAGAAATACACCATTTTTTTTTTTTTTTAAAAGCTTAAGTTCAAAGCATTTACACATTCTAATGAAGCTTTTCCAAGACTGACTGCCTAGGGGTTTTAGTGATAAATGCTCTTTCAACAAATAGTGAAACATTTTAAGAACCATCATTTTGTATTCTTAAGGAAATAAGAAAGATTTTCTGGGAATGAAAGACAAATCATGCCATTTATATATATATATATATATATATATATATATATAACATTTATAAATTATTGATAAAAATATTCTTTGTGCCACTCAAAAGTTTCATATTTATATTACTTTCCTCAAAAGATATGAGCTCAAAGATAATTATTATAAGTTATACCTAAAAAGTTATATTAATATTTTAATAATTATTACCTACAGTAATATGCAATTCCAATGAGCTAGGAAGAAAAAGTATAGTGAATAAAATTATTATCCTTTGCCAATATAAATTAAGTAGACATAAAATCCCAATGTATCAATTAATCTTCTGGGGCAGATAAGACTGAACTTCTGGTACTTGAAATTATAAGTTTATTAAGAGAGGGAACTTGAAGGAAAAAAGTCTTTGTCATGTCTGTCATACACTAAGAAATAACTGCAATTTCTGATCTTTATGTAAGTAGACTTAGGTCAGTTACAAATTTTTCCTAAGAAGAATAAAATCTATTATGAGGCATAAAATTTGCCAAGCTAATAACTTGTTACTCATATTAATTCAATATGAATATATTTTGATATTTTTATAATTGTATCTCACCTACATAACTTTCACAGATTTTATGCCAAAATTGGTTTTGCAAAAGTGTGGTTATGACCATTTTATGAAGCTCTCCCCCAACCAAAAAAAAAACTGTGCTGGTATTAATTAAAAATCATCTATTAATAAACTGTCTTCGGTGCAAGATTAGAATGTATAGAATACTCATGAATATACATTACTGTGGTGGTGATGATTATGGGGTGCACTATGGTACTTAAAAGAGATGATAACATAACATACTTAGTAGAGGTACATTAAGGGGGAAAATATCCACAGAAATTCTAGAGGACATTTGCTAAATTTAATGTTTCCATATTTATTTGAACTGTTTTAAATAATGACAACCCTGATTGAATAAAGATGTTTGAAGATCACAAAATATAATTTGGGCCCATTATTCTAGTGATAATAAAATGACCCTATAGTGTTAAATTTAATCTGGTCTCTATACCTTGAGTTTCTGTGTAAGAAACTGCAATGTAACTTGGTAGGAAATCAAATGAACAGAGTATAATCAACTACTAAGTCTCAGCCAATGATAGTAGGCAACTATGTTTCAGCCAATCATAGGCAATCAACCAATCAAATCATATCCAAACAAGGTCTAGCCATGACCAATCAAGCAATTTCTGCCTCTAAATACCACCCACTGTTGCACAGTGAAACTGTTTGAATCTCTTCTGGTTCTGAGTGTTGCACAATGCATGTAGCACTTTTTCCTCAAACAAACTCCTTAGTTTGTCTAAAGTTCTTTAAGAACAGTGTTTTTTTTTTTTAAATAAAATCCCATTATGTATAAATTGGTAGGTGTCAGCAGAACTGTTTGACTTAGTAAATTACCAATCAGCTTAATAAGCAAAGGAAAAAAAAAAAAGAGTTTCTTAGGGTATTTATGTGAAAAACTCAAATATAAAACTAACCTTGAGAACAAAATCTCCGTGAGGGCTTCTTTTCCTTTCTTTTCCTTCTAGTTTTTTCTTACTGTCCTCCAATAACTTCTGCAATTCTATCAGCTTCTTTTCTTTTTCCAAAGCATTTTTCTCTGCAGTTTCTACTTGTTCTTTTTCTGAAATCAAAGTAGTATGCATTTCAATCACTTGTCTTTCTAAGTCTGATATTCTCAAGGTTAATGCAGACATATCTGACTCCATCTTGTTTTCTGTTATTTGATTTAAATTCTGCATATTTTCCTTTTCAAGTTCTGATGAAGCTACTCCTTTATCTTGACAGAATTTCACATATTCCTGAACTGCCTCAAGTTGGACTTGACTTACAAGAGCAGCAGCTACTTTCTCCTCAAGTACTTTCTGTAGGTTTACAATCTTCTTCTGAAGCATTTCTGTTTCAGATTGGCCTTGTTCTTTTATGTCTTCTATTTGTTTATAACACTGGATAAGTTCTAAGTCCTTTGCGCTAACAGAGCTCTCAAGCTGTAGCAGTTTTATTTCCAAATTTTTGGAAACTTTGGTGCTTTCTTCAAAAGATCTGAGATACATATTGCTCTCAGGGGGTTTCAGAACATCTTCAATATGGATTACTTCCAGTTCGGGTTGGTCTTTGCTGATATCATCTATAGTCATGCTAACACTTTCATCTGGTATACTTTGGATTTTTTCCTTAGGGTCATGTTCTCTCTTCAAGTTGACTAATTCTTGTGTTAGCTGATCCATTTTAAAATTGGTTTCTTTAAGTACATTTTTTGTGAAGGCCATTTCTTCATTAGTGATTTCTACTTGCTGTTCCAAAGCCAGCTTTTCAGCTATAACCTTTTCCAACTGATGTTTCAAGCTGTCCTCTTGTTCTGAGGGCGAACTGGTATCCACCAACATACTCTGTTCAATATATGACAATTCCTCCTGAAGTTTTTCAATCACTTCATTGAGCTTGTCTGTTTCTTCTTCTCTATTTTTCTTCAAACGTTCTTGATCACTCTTCAGACATTCTATTTGGGCTTCAAGATCCCTTACCAGTTCATTTTTTTCTTCAAAATCCTATTAGTTAATGAAAAAGAGAAACACAGAAAAGTATGTATTCATATTTTAAAATTTTGTTTTATTTTAGGGTAAAAACTTAAAGATGATCAGGCACAAAAGCTGTATGCTTGTCAGACACATTATGTTACTTTCAATATAGACCAACACCTCCCTTATCACATCAAACAAAGACCTTATTTAGAACATCATTCTGGAAGTTCTATTAAACATAAGTGGCTTATGCTTTTAGTATTTGATTCTCTATTAGGAAAATGTCAACATTAGTACATTTTATTGGAAAGGATAAAATACTGAATTAAGTCTATAACAGATGGCATCCAAAGCTAATCACTCTATTTAACTATATAAGATTTCAGATAATAACCAATTTTAAATGAGTATACCTTGTTATCTGTTGTAAGTCTAAGTTGTTGATGAAAGTCTCTAATTTGCTCATTTAATCGATCAATTTCTACCTCTTTTTCCTGTATTATTTGAGCAAATTTCCCAAATAGCATATGCTGGTCATGAGTAGAGATAGCCTCAGGATCCTTCATGGCAAATCTCAATTTCTCCATTTCATCCTAGTGACAAAAATAACCATCATAGTTGGATGTATTCATGACATGGCATTTTTCACAACATTGTTTCAATTAAGTCTTATAAAAAATACATTTCCTACAATGTACACGTAAAAAAAATTAGACATAATGTAGATCAATAATTCTTGAAATATTTTCATAAAAGATCTCAAAAATTTAATTATGAACAGAAAATAAGTTCCATGCAAATCTATTTGCTTGCTAGTGTTCTTCGAGTGAGTATTATTTAGATCTGGACTTAGTAAATGTTTATTATAACTACATAGGAGCAAAACTTATCTCTATAGAAAAAAAATTTTCTAAAACAGTTACCTTGAATAATTTATTTTCTTGTTCAAGTTCCTGTAGACGGGTAGTGGATTCCTTTTTCTGTATTTCCAATTGCATATGTAGTTGCTGAACTTCTTCATTTTTATTTTCAAGCTCATCTCTAAATTGCTCTAGTTGTTCTTCTAAGTTTGTTATCTTTAATATCAAAATTATGAAAAGTAAAGAAAAAAAAACTTTATACAGATGTTTGTCAAGATAGAATTAAGAATGTTGGGGCTGGGGCTGTAGCTCAGTGGTAGAGCACCTGCTGTGCACATGTGAGGCACTGGGTTCGATCCTCAGTACCACATAAAAATAAAGATATTGTGTCCAACTACAACTAAAAAAAAAATTTAAAAAAAAATGTTGTATTTGCTTTATAAAGTACATATGCTTAATTCATAACAATAAAGGAAAGTGGTTTTCTAAGCCAGCCATACTTGTATGGTTCCTAGACATGCTCACACTGCACATTCTTTTTTTTGTTTTTTGGTTTGTTTATTTTATTTTTGTTTTGGCACTGGGGACTGAACCCAAGGGAGCTTTACCATGGAACCACATCCCCAGCCTTTTTTTTCAATTTATAGTTTTTAGATACAGTCATGCTAAGAAAGTTGCTTAGGGTCTTGCTAAGTTGCTGAGGCTGGCCTCAAACTTGCAATCTTCCTGCCTCAGACTTCTGAGTTGTGGGATTATAGGTATGTGCCACCGTGCCTGTCACACTGCACATTCTTAAACCATCTTGCCCAAGCAGAAGATACCTTAAAGAAGGACACCAGGAAATATTTTCTACCATAAGAAGAAAGAGTCACAGAAAGGAGCAGTCCACATGTTAACTCTTATGTTAAATTCAGTTAGAATTAAGTCAGTTGCTATTGAAAAGCTTAGAAAAATTGTAGAATTAATTCAGTTATTCTAGTATCAAATAAAACTAACTTAATATAGTCCCACAAATATCTAATTATAATCCATTGAATGCCCTGGCTGCTTTGTGGTTTGATTAAGCAGATGGAAGCAGAGATACACAATAAGGTCAAGAGATCCTTAGGTCTGAATTGCAGAGTAAGGTAACAAAATAATTTTAGTAAAAAATCAGAGAGCTCTTACTTATAGGAAAACAGAAATTTAATTTTTGAAGATGGATTATTAGTAATAAAAGTAAAATAATCCTCTTTGATGGTTATACAAAAAAAAAATGAACCTGATGACGAATATTAAGAGCTAATTATTGCTCTATTTAAAAAAATGGGTTTGAGGACATTAGCAGTCACTTTAGCTCACTGCTTCACAGCTACTTAATATTTAATAAATGAATTTATAAATATATATTTACTTGATGATCAAAAATGTTGCATTAACAGCAACCTAAGATGCAGAAGCAGTGTTTAGTAGTAACTGGCTCAGAGCCAACTTTAAATCATTTAGTGCCTTAAAGTTGAAAAGGGGCATATCTTGCTTATATACTGATACATCACACAATTAGAATCATTCTAGCACAGGCAAGGCAAGGCCTTAAAAATCAGCCTAAAAAAAGAAATCAGCAAGGAAAAAAAAAATCAGCCTAATATTTCTTAAACAGAAATGGTATCAATACTAAATAATGGCTATTATTTATAGAGAATTACTGCTAGGCATGGGTACAAAGTGCTTTATATATTGTTATTTTTTAAAAAGCCTGTAACAACCTTAGGAACTCTATTCTATGATTAACCCCATTTCAGAAGTGAGGAAGGGAGTTACAGCAAGGAGTAACTTGTCCTGAGGTCACATGTCTACTATGTGGTGAAACCACCTTTTGAACCTGGGGAGTTCCAGTCCTAAACTATAATTTATCCTGTTTCTTTTTTTTCTTTTCAAATATTTATTTATTTATTTATTTATTTAGTTTGTGGTGGTCACAACATCTTTGTCTGTATGTGGTGCTGAGGATTGAACCTGGGCCGCACGCAAGCCAGGAGAGCACGCTACTGCTTGAGCCACATCCCCAACCCCTCCTGTTTCTAATAACTAATGTCTAAGACGTCTACTTAAATTTTTTGTAACAATGATATTGAACTCTGTAGACACTAAAATACATTTAGTGGTTGTACATATATAATTTCCAGGTTAGTTTATTGAAAATTGTGATGACTGTATCTTCTTCAAAATTATCTGATAGTATTTACATCTATTCTTCTCTTCTATAACAAATTTTAATGACAAGGTATTATAAAATCAACATACACATAGTTATTTAGGTTCAAAATTGCTGCCCCGCCTCACATGATCTTTTTTTTTCCTTGTGACATCACTTAATAGTCAAATTCTTAGCTCTATGTCTTAAAAGCCCTGCTACTCAAAGTGTAGTCTCTGGAGCAGCAGAATAGGCATCATGTGAGAGCACGTTTGATGCACAGAATCTTGTGCTGCACTCAAGATCTGCATTTTGGGAGCTGAGGTTGTGGCTCAGTGGTAGAGCGCTTGCCTAGCATGTGTGAGGCACAAGGTTTGATCTTCAGCACCACATTAAAAAAAAAAAAAGGTATTTAGTTTCTCTACAACTAAAAATTTAAAAAAAAAGATTTAAAAAAAAAAAAAGACCTGCACTTTAACAAGATCCCCTGCTGATTCATATGCAGAGAAGGACTGGTTTAAAGTACTAACATTTTTATTTTAAGTAGCTGAACTTGAGACATCACATCAGACTTTAGTTTCTCCAAATGACACTATGGAACATTCTTGTTATTCAAGCAGACTCTAGTTTCAGGCTGTCTTATAACAACACCCAAACCAGAAGAACATTAGAAAGGTTTAAACTTGTTTTACTTTTCTACCAATTGATATCTAGACTATTTGGATGACACTGATTTGTACCTATTTGAGTCTTATTTTATTTTTTAAGTGTTTTTTTTTCTCTTAAAAAAAAAAAAAGTATAGGGGCTGGGGTTGTGGCTCAGTGGTAGAGCGTTTGCCTGGCATGTGTGAGCCACTGTGTTCGATTCTCAGCACCACATATAATAAAAAAATAAAATAAAGGTCCATCAACAACTTTAAAAAAATGTTAAAAAAACTTATATATGTTCCACTAATTAGATAGCATATTCCTTGAAGTCTGGTGTTGATTTCACAACTGAACAAAAGTGCTTTACATTCAGAAACAGCTTAATAATGAATGTTGAATGACAGTCTTTAACATTTTTCACTAACAAGCAAAATATATTCAGTGTTCTGGCATCATAGCATCATAGGGTTCCAGAATCAGTTCTTTCTGTCTGTACTAAGTACTAACCTCTCTTAAGGATCAGGTCACACATTGGCAAATTAGGAGATTTTAGAACAGAACCTATTCCCAGGGAGAGTGTTAAGGGTTAATGGGACAATGCATTTAATATACTTTCTAGCACTCAGCCCTCAGCAAAGTTAACTATTATTTACTATTGCTATCTATAAACTAGAGCTCATTAGTTCTACAGAGAGCTAAAAGGATCAGCTTACTGATCCTTTTCTCAAAATAACTATTGTCTCCACAATATTTCCTTCTCCTATAAGAAGCTGTTTTCTTCTTTTTATTCATCCCACATTTCTAAATAGTCTAATGAACTTTCAAAAAAATGTTTTATACAAATCTAGGTTTTGGGAGTATTTGAACGTCTCAACTATAATGATACATAAGGATATCTTTATGTTTATACTCAATAGGACATCTGAAAACATTTGCCTAGTTTTCAGGATAGAATGCTTAAGTTATTTTCATTAAAAGACATATGTTTTAATTCTACCTTCATACCTCCATTATTCAGTTATAGGTAAGGGAGTGAGTTCTGATAGAATACTCATTATAGTTATTTAAAGCAAGTAAATGAAGGTCAGCTTGTTATTTTAATCTGTATATATTCATTCAACATCTTTGGCTCTGGGTCTCTATCTGTAAAAACTGAAAGTCAGTTAACAGATGCTCTCTATGGTTTCTTATAGTTCTATACTACTAGTACCATGATCCTGAGTAAAAGGCAGATGTTTATTAGAAACTTAATTCAGGAAATTAAGGTGTTAGTAGATATATATTACATTCAAAAGATAATAAAAATAATAGGGCATGGTGGCACATGAATGTAGTCCCAGCTACTCAGGAAGCTGATGTGAGAGGATTGCTTGAACCCTGTAATTTGGAGTTTATAGTCAGCCTGGCACTATACTTAATGCCTTCCATCTCAAAATACAAAAACAAAAACAAAAAAACCTGTGTGTGTGTGTGTGTATGTATGTATGTATAGAATTAGGGCTAAGGAAATAACTCAGCAATGGAATGCTTGTGTGAGGCCCTTTGAGCCCCAGAACACACACACAAATGAAGAGAAACAACTAGTAAGCTACATCAAGTATCCTTAATCAACTACCACTACTTTTAGATCCAGTTGTGAAGGTTCATTTTTTGGGGGGAGGAGATTATTCAGTATTTAAGATAAATCATTAAGTATTAATTCCTTTCAAATATACAAAAATAGTTACACACACAAAAAATGTGCTCACTGCTTCCATGAAAACTCCAAACCTAATAAACCAGAACTTCTCAGATGTTACATAAAAATGGGAAAACGATCCTTCTCATGGATCATTTCAACTATAGTAATTTCTATGGATTCCTTTTTTCTTCTTTGAACTACAAATTCACTGAACTGTCATTTTAGCTGATGTCTAAATTAGTTTTTTAAACAGATTTTCAAGTACTTATTAACAAATACTTCTACGATATTTAAGCAAAATAAGTATTTGTTAAAATAAATTTAAATGTTCTGAGAAAAATTCTATGGAAAGAGACAAAAACATAATTAAAAACATTTTAAACATTTAAAATTATTTACTACTATACAATATTGAGTATTATATGTTTTAGGAAAACTATTAGTAGACAAAGAAAGTTAAAATTACTATAGCTCTAAAGGTAAATTTTCTTTTCTTGTTCTCACAGGGGTATTATTATGTTGCCTAGGCTGACCTTAACCTCCTTGGCTCAAGTGATTCATTCTCCTGCTTTAGAGTCCTGAGAAGCAGGGACTACAGGCATGCACCACCATGCCTAATTGGATCCTTCTCTTTAAGAAGGAGGTAGAAGGGCAACACAGGATAACTTTATAGTTACTTTCTTGTTATTATTATTTTGTGGTGCTGCAGATTCAAACCCACTTTGAGCTAAATTCCCATTCCCAGTTCATTATTAATCTTTTAAGCACAAGCTTCATATGTTGTAAAACAATACTATCAATTCTCAGGGAAAAGTTTAAAAAGAAAATGGAAAGCAAGCAAACCCAAATTCACAGTAGAGAGGAGCAAAAACTCAATGCCCATAGCACAAACAGGAGAAAAGAGATGCTGCCTTTTGTCCTAACTACTACATTTCTCCACTGTCCTCTGCACTCAGCCCATACCTGCTAAATTGTCCTTTCTCCCTCTCTAAATTTCTTCTTGCTTCAAGGTGCTCACACTAGTTATTCTCTCAACCTGGAATAAACTTCCTTCATAAGCTTTTCAGTTCACATGTTTATTGTCTTGAAGATCAATTTAGGCACTGAATTGAGAAAGTCTATACTTTGGTTTTAGATCACAAACTTCATTTTGTTCAAATGATATTTTCAAGGTAACTGATTTTAAAATAACTCAAAACATATTTTGTCATTTAAAAATAAAGTGGTAGAACGCTTGCCTAGTATGTGTGAGGCACTGGGTTCAATCCTCAGAACCATGTAAGTAAATAAAACAAAAGATATTTGCCCATCTACATCTAATCCACCACACACACACACACACACACACACACACACAGACGAAAGAAAAAAAAAAAGTCGTTACCTCTTTTTCTTTTCTGTCGATAGCATCTCGCTCAGCTTGCAGTTGCACTTCTAGAGACAATTCTGCTTTAGCTTCTAAGGCTCCAAATTGTTTCTGGTCCTCTACCTTTAAATATATAAGAATGTTCTCAAATTTTCAGACATTAAATACTGATTATTCAGAGTGTGTGTGTGTGTGTTTCCTTTTGGATAAGTTGCAATTCTCTCTGACCAGTTAGGAGGACAAACTCTACATTAGTAAATATCAAAAAGTTACAGATATTCAGTCTTGAATACATTCATAGAGTCAAACAGGAACTTTTGACACTTAAAATGCATTTCTCAGATAAAAATGAAGGCTCTTTCCCATCTGCCCCCACCCTCAAGCTTTCTTATTCAAGCTCTGATGTTTGTGTATTAAAACACTTAATAAAGTTAACTCAAAATGTCACACCTTTTGAAAATTGTCTGTGCTAACAAGTAAGGCTTGTTCCAGTTCTCTCACTCTGAACTCTAGCTTTTCAATTTCTTCATTCCTCTCTTGTACATCTCTTTGAAGCTGTTCTTTTGATAGAAGCAGCTCACTGCACTTGTCTGTTTTTTCTTTTAGATTATTTGTTAATTGTTCAACCTGAAAATATAATAAAAAAAATCTAAAAATTTGAAAAGTTCATAACTTTTAATTCATCTCAAAAATCATTTTTTCCAAAAAACATTTTGAAATGCTATATTAATTTCATTTTTTATAAGGATAGCAACTATTATCTCAAACAAAGGTTGATAGTTCCCAAGTTGATAAGAACTAGGCAGCACTAGTAAACAACAAATATTGCTTTTGCTCAACCCTTTTAAAAAAAATTTCTTTCTCTTAAGACTAAGACTTTAGCTAGGAAGAGGGGAAAACCACATTTTGAATAATGTTGAATTATCTAGTAATGGTACAATCATACTAAGACCTATGACCTTAAAGATGGCAAATTTGTAGAGTACTTACTGACTTGCTTTCAGAATGTGAAGTAAGATAACCTGAAAAAAAATCTTTCATGAATTACTTTTTGATAATAGTTATTTACAAAGCACTTTCAATCTATACATTGCACCATCCCAGAATAGAGATGAGGATGGGTGGTAAGAGAGAGCTATACATTTAGTGTCTTATTAGTTTCTCCTGCATCCAAAATAAATGATGACACATCCCAGAAATTATCCCTGAAGACTGATATGCAAGTGCCTTCAATTCAATGGCTCTGTGATAGAAGAATACAGGAAGGATTAATAAGATAATTTATGAAATTAGTTCTGATCAAGAGGGAGAGGATGTTCCTAAAAAGATAAGTAATGGTAAGAAATAAAAGAATACTACCTTTATTCAGTGAAATACTTGGAGGCAATTATACAAAATGACAATCATTATTCAGAACATTAAAAAAATGCAAGCTTAATTATAATTACAGGATTAAATTTTAACAGTAATAAAGCTACTGAGAATAATAGGTTGACTAAGTTTTGGATTAAGTTAATGAGAAAATGCTATAAAACAGGTACAATGAAATGGCATATTATAATATGTATTCACAGTTGGAATTTTTGGGTCTTCAGAAAATCAGAAGCTGGGATTAGTTCTGGCAGGGTAAGCAGAGAACAAATGGGTCACAGTGTTCCTGAGGAAACTCAAACATACCTTAAAGTTTCATGAACAAGATAGGTCAACTTTCAAATATTTTTTAAAAAATTATATAGTAGAAAATGGCAGTCAAAGTTCTAGATCTTGAATTATCTTTTGAGTTTCAGTGAATAAGTCACTGTTTTTCAAAAGCTAAAAATACATTTGTTAGAAATAAGGGCAATGACTACAAACAAGGGGAATGATGACTTCTCTTCTATTCTAGCAGATTTAACATTTCATTACAATGAACTTATAGGCATATTATACTTCATTGAGGTACTTTTAAGAGAAATGAATCAAGTAAACTTCTTAGAAATTGTAGATAATTTTCAGCAATAAAATTATTTTCAGAAATAATAGTAGTTGAATTTAAGTGTTAACTAAGGGCCACACTAATACTGCTATGCAGTGGGAGCTATTACTGTCTTTATTTTAGAAATGAATAAATAGATTTGAAAGGTTAAGTAGCTTAGTTACTGTCACACATCTACTACATAGCACAGCCATGATCCACACTGGGATTGCCTTATCTCAAGCACAATCTCTTTATAACCAGGACAAGCCATCTTTAGAAATATATATAAGTGATATATGTATAAATATGTATAATATTTCCCATGTAACATTTGTTTAATAAATGTAGAGTTTTCTGTATGAGGAAAATGGACAGTGGGAGTGACAGAGTAGAAGCAGGGAGACTGGTCAGGAGGCCACCTCACACATATAGGCAAATAATAATGACAACTAAGACACAGGGAAATGAATAAAGGTGAAAAGAATAAAAAGATGTAGTATAAATCTGATCTATTAATGGTTTGGGATCAGGGCTGAGAAGGAGTGGGACTGAGGAAGAATTCTAGAACTTAGCAAAGAAGATGATTTAGAAGGCACAACATTTATTGAGATGAAGAAGGAATAATTTTATTCTTGTCTTTTTGATAAAGGCTAATCAGGAACCAAGAATATGATTCCTGGATATGTTAAAAATGAGACATCTACGTGGAGACAGAGTAGGCAGTTGAAAATTCAAGTACAGAGTTCAACAGAGATGTTAGGAATAAAGGAACAACTGTGGGGCAATTTACAGATGACTGGGAAGAAAATGTAAAAACGGAAGAACGAGGACTCTAAGACTGAGTCATGAGGCACCCCTCATTTATTTTGGGTAGGCAGAAGACAAAATAAATACTGGAGGAGAGAGACCACACTCTACAGTACGTGTGTCACAGCAGTTAAGAGAAGGAGATACTTACAGAAGACTGTAATGAGTGTCTCCAAATGGTTGAGTAGTATTAAAGACAGAGAGGTGATTACTAGATACAGCCAAGAGGCTTTGGGTAACCTTCATAGGAACAGTTTAAATATACTAAGGGGTATAAAATTCTAAGAAAAAGATGTTGGAAACTTCATTGTAGTGGACTGTAAAAGAGAAGAGAAAGGGTAGTAAAGAGTGACTACAGAGAATTATCAGTTTTGTTGGGATGGGAGTAGAGAATTAGGCAGAGAAGTTTATTTAATACTAGAAAATATATAAAGATGGAAATAATTCCAAATTTCGGTATAACATTTTTATGTTTTGTTTTTTGTTTTTGATGGTGCTGGCATCAAATCCAGGGCTTCAGGTATGCTAGGCAAGTGTTCTACCATGAACTATAACCCCTAGTCCAATACAAACATTTTTTAGGGTTAATGACCTCCTCACATTTAAGTAATATTCAATGTCCTGATTTTTAAGATTTATACCTTATTCACTTTTAAGTTTTTCATAATGTAACTCTTACTTCACACTCAAGATACAAATAGGCAATACCAATAAAGTTCTTACCTCTCTAGTTTGATGGTCACCAACAGGCTGGATTCGAGGCACAACCTTAAGTTGTTGTTCTAACTTCTGTATTTCTTGTTGGAACACATCTCTCTCATGTTCTCTGTCAATGGCTTGCTCCTGAAATTGAACAATAATAAAAACAATAGTAATTGAAGAAACAATATTTATTAAACCTATTATCTCTCTTTAGCTATAGGTTAAGTTTGTTTGAAAAGAAAGGACTGATGACCATGGAATCACAAAGATTCAAAAATATTTTTGGTATGATACATTACCTATTTGGGTTCTTCCACAAAATTTAAATACTTAAAATTTATTTGAAGTACATTTGTTTTCATTTAGGTAATGTTAAACTCAGAATGAAATAATTCTCCTCCATCAATGAATGTACTTGTACAATGGAGAAATTACACTGCTAACTCAGTCATTAAGCAAATAAACAAACTGGTAAATCAATTTCTTTAATCTTAAGTTTTATACCTAAAATTATAAATAGTATAAGACTCTAATTCTCTGATATGTTAAGAGAAAATCTGGCTTCTAAGAAATCTTAAAGAAGAATATCCATGTGAAATTAAAGATTTAACATCTTTTTGGAAGAGAGCAATGGAAGCTTGGCAACTATTCCAGCCCAAGTGCCACACTGTTGTTACCTGTGTTCACACCTTTTGAGGTGGACACAATGGTAGACAATTAGCTCTTGGAATTCTTACCTGCTTTGACTACTGGTTAAATGAGAGACTAGTAGAAGATTAACTATGAATTTTGGAACATTAACTAGTAGGGCTTATTCACAAGCTAGTGGCACAAGTTTTGTTGTTGTTTAGGTTTTTTTTTTTTTTTTTTTTTTGGTGCTGGTGATTCAACCTAGGGCCGGCCTCATTTCATTCATGCTAAGCAGTGCTCTACCACTGAGCTACATTCCCTGCCCTAGTTTTACTATTTTCATTTTGATTGTTACATAATAAATTATTGGAATACTCTCTCCATTGGTGGAATACACACATAAGCAAAAATATTGAGTCCCTATAATTTAAAATTAAAATAATATAGAACAGCATCACATAGTATTCTACTGAGAAAAATCAATATCAAATTGCAAATACTTACATCTAAAAATTTTCTCATTTTTTCTAATTGCTTTTCTAGTGCTTGGTTTTGCTGTCTTAAATCCATTACTTCAGCATTTTTTTCTTGTTCCATCTCTATAAACCAACTGACTTGTTCTTCAACATCTGTTTCTAAAGCTTTCATTTGTTTTTGAAGTTCATCATGTACTTTCTCAGCTTGACATTGCAATTCTAGCTTTTCCTTCATTAATTTTTCTGTCTCATGTAGTAATTCTGTTTATAAATGCAAAAGCATTCAGAGTTAATTATAATTAATGGTGCTTCCAGTAAATTTTACCTTCATGAAATAAAGGCTGAGAAATATTTTAAGTCCATATTAAAAAGTAAATATTCTCTTATAAAAATATCAAAATATCCTACTGCTACACATACATAAACTAGTATTATTAAAATTATGCAGAATTAACAAAAAGAAAGTCCCGTCACAAAAACACCATTTTTGTAAAAACATAGCAAATGACAAAAAAAGCCACTTTTCACTATTAAGAATAGAACAAAATTGAATGAAATTTAAGCATAGAAAAAGAATATTTTATTTACCTCACACAAAAATTCATTCATTCCAAACCCACAAATCACTTTCATATGTATACATAATATACACAAAAAATCTCTGTAAATCTTTAAACAAGCAAGGAAGAGTTGTAGGAGAAGAAATAAGACTATACCCAGAATTTCCTGTTATTCTTACTCCTTATTAGATCCATATTACTGAGTTGTTTTTGCATGCTCACATGTATGTGCATCAAGGGAAAACTGACATGTGAGAGGCAGTGTGGTTAGCACTAAAAACAGACTATGTCTTCAAATCCTAGCTTGCCTCTTGTTTTACATGATATTCAATATGATGATCCTTGGTTTCCTTATATGTAAAATGGGAACTATATCATTGCCAATCTCTTACAGCAAATTTGGAATCAAATGAGTTAAAATATGTAAAACAGTAACTGTAGTATGGTAAGCACTATTGTGTTAGTATCATTATTAATATAATAATAAAGTATAAAAGAAAAAGTAAACCAATCCTCTAATAAAGAAAATGGAAAGAACTTATCTCTAGAATCTTTATACTAACTGATGTGTCAACACTATACTCAAGACAAGGAATCAACAGAAAAACTTTTCCTTTGAAAACAACACTGATACTAGATGTTAACAAAGTAAATCAATCAGAAAGCCTCTTACTAAATTCCATTGATCTTTTTACTACCATCATCTTATAAACTTCCTGACTTAGAAGAGGATTCTGGAAAGTCATAGACTACAAGATTTAATATATTTATTTAAAAAAAACATTTTCTTTGAAAAATTGAAATTAAGTTTCATGCAAAACAGATAATAAGATGATGGTCATTATCAATCTCAGTTGTTAATTTCAAGTGAAAATGTGAACTTTTATAGTAAGACAAGTTGTTTTGTTGTTAAAGAGAACAACTTTAAGAGTGAATCACAGCAGCAAAACTGCGAAATTAGAGATGTGTTAGTTGTTTGAAAATCCAAGGGTTACTCAAAATTTGCATCTAAATCTACCACTCAAAAATAGTCCATGCAATTGTACGCACACACCTGCTTCAGGTGCTGCAGCGACTGCAGCATCTACTAGTCCTATGAAAATAGAAAACAAGACAAGACACAAGAAAAATATTATACATATTCTATTGGCTAAAATAAGATAATGCATGTGCCCACATATATATTAGAAGCAGATGCTGAAGCCACTGATTATCATCACTGGAGATTTTGAGAAGTTCCAATATTTCTTGAATATTTTACATGTATGACACAAAGTTTTTCCCTATTAAAAATTACAACCCTAAACCCATGCTAGACTAATTTCATCATTTTACAAAATATGTATGTTGTATTTCTTAATTGATCAAATGAAATTAGAGAAACAGTTTATAATTCCAACTTACGTTTACTATAAAAGTGAGGACACAATAAACTGAATTTAAATTTTTACTATTACAAAGATTGACATTTACTGCTAAACAAACTTTAACGTCGATATTATTTCTTATTTAAGGAAAAATTAAGGTTATTTATAAATTTAAATTCTCTTTGAACTCCTACTAAACTAGATGTCAGCCTGCTTCTAGCGCCATTGACCTTTTCCATGTATTTGGCTTGCAAGCCCCAGACCTGCTTATTACTAAAACAAGTTCTTAGTTATTTAATCCGACAATACATTTTTGCTGTCTCTTTTCTATTAAAAAGCCTAAAGCTTACACAATTTATAAAATATTCTGCCCCATTATTTGTAACCTTCTCTTGAGGCAGATTTTTGGGGATAAGTAAAGAATTGTCTTTTCCTGTTAACAGTCAACATCTGTCAGAGATTAAAAAAGAAAGAAAAGAAAACCCTGGTTCTACTTGGTTGTCTATTAAGACAATTACCTATAAGGTATGTTTGGTTATAATTTTTTTGAATACACTTTTTTTAGTTGTCAGTGGATCTTTATTTTACTTATATACAGTGTTGAGGATGGATCCCAGTTCCTCCCACATGCTAGGCAAGCGCTCTATCACTGAGTCACAACCTCGGCCCATTCTGCTATTATTTTTCAAGTTCCTATATGGTATATGAATAATGGCATTGAAAAAAAGGGGGAAAAATCACTCTTAATGTTTAAAGAATATAAATGAAAAGAAAAGTGTTCCAAAGTCTGAAAATACGTACTTTGTACAGCTGGACTTGATTCTGCTTTTAATGCCTCCTTCTGTCTTGACAATAATTCTTTTTCTGCTTGGATTTCTTGTTGTTCTGCTTCCAATTCTTGCAACCTATTACCTGCACGTAACAACTCCTGCTCAAGGCGATCTATTATATCAGTTTTTTCCTCAATTTGCCTTTCAAAAACAGTTTTTTCATCTGCATAGCCATCAATAATACCTGTAAGATAAAATGAACAGGAAATGGAATTACAACTCATTTAAATTTGAACATTAACATGTTTTAATATGAACAAAAGAGCTGTTAGCAAAACTTTAAATCATTCCAACTTATTAAGAGTCTTGAATGAATTTGCTATTAATAGCAGCAACTTATTGACTTTTTTTTGTTGTTGTTGTTGAAGACGGACACAATACCTTTATTTAGTATATTTTACGTGGAGCTGGGGACTGAAGCCAGTGCTTCACGTGTGCTATCAAATGTTCTACCACTGAACCACAACCCCAGCCCTTAACTTTTAATATGTACATTTGATTTAGTCGTCGTCTTATTTTTTGAGTACCAGGAATTGAACCCAGGGGTGCTTTACCACTGAGTTACATCCCCAGTTCTATTTTATTTAGAAACAAGGTCTCACTAAGTTGCTTAGGGCATTGCTAAATTGCTGAGGCTGGCATTGAGTTAGTAATCTTCCTGCCTCAGTGTCCCTGGGCATGTCACTGGGATTACAGGCATGTGCCACTGTGCCTGGCCCAATGCAGTCTTCTTGTTTACCAACCTGACATTAATGTGAAATTTCTCTAAACTTTCAAATAGTTTGCTATACTGAAGTATCATCACGTTGTATATGCATAATTCACTTTATTAAAAAGATAAAAATAGACAAGTTCCTAGACAGCTTAATGTAAATCAGATATTATAAATCGAATCACAATTCTAACAGAGTAAAGAGAATGGGAGAGGGGAAAGAAGACGGGAGGGAAAAGAAGGGGATCATGAACTGAAATTGATTTCCATGCATGTATGAGTTTGTTGAGATGAACTCAGCTACTATGTATGACTATGAAGCTCTAACAAAACATTTTCTCTCAAGTTGGTATTTTAATTCTAGAAGGTCAAGGTCAATACCACAGCATGGGGGAAGAGGCAAAGCCCAAGGCTTTAGAGGCTTAAAACCTATGGTCACCATTTAATGGTTACCTTAAACAATTCAATAACATCTTTACCTTCAGTTTTCTCATTTTTAAATTACAGGCGTGTCTTAGGATGGTGGGATCATGGAAACAACTCTCCACCATCCATTTCTCTATTTTCTAAAATTCCTTTATATTTTCAGTAATTCTATAAGTTCCTTTTATATTTAAATGTGTATATGCAGTTTTAAAAACTGCTTGGAAAAACTCTGAAGACAAACTACAACTACTTTCCAATGGCTGCTCTAAATTAGAGTAGATTTGTTTCTGAATTTGGCTGTACATCAAAATCTCTATTTTAAGATTGAAGTTCTGCTACTCTGACTTGCCAAAGGCAAGGTACTTACCTTCAGCCTTACTGAGCTCCACTGCCAGCTGTTCTCTGGCCCTAGACTCTTCATGAAGGCGCTCTCGCAGTTCTTCTTGGCATTTAAGGGACTCTGTTGCCTGTTGTTTCTGTTTGAATGACTCACGCATCAATTCTGTTTGTGTAACTTTTGCATGTTCAAGCTAAACAAGAAGGGAAAGAATACATGAAGGAAGATGAAGTGTTAGGAAAACCAGTGTCATTTTCCATTAAAGTAAGGATTTCAAATAAAAGACATATTACTGACTTACAGTCACTTAAGACAATTCTAATGCATGTTAACATTTGTGGGTAGGATAAGTCAATAGTAGACTCCACATTTGTTTTGAACACTTTAGAATTCGGAGGCATTAAAAATACAGCCTTCTTAGAATGCTATCATTGGCATATACTGACTCCATTTTAAAAATAGTTTTTAAGATGGTAATACACACTTGAGGCCAAAGCTCTCGATCAGGAAGTAGTTGAATTGCCATCACTTAATCATTTGTGTGAAATTTCAAAAAAGCACTAACTTTGCTTTAGTTATCTGAGCTTTTATATGTCACCATCTACTTATCTGTTTTTACTGAAACAACTACATGCAGGAAAAAAAAAAAAACTCCACAAAAAACAAAAAACAAAACTGAGTTGTCAAATGTTTTTAGTACTTAGCCCCAGAATTTTAAGAAATAATTGTATGTATTGACAACAGGCTTACAGCAAGTCTCTTAAATAAATTTTGTAAATTTACATAAGTTTGTGTATCAGAAAGACATTACTGCCATGTTTTAAACTTAAAATGATAAAATGTAGTGGTTTCTAAGGTTTCTAATTAGACATTAATAATGTATTATAAAATTAAGATAATATTTAAAATCTTAAAGACTTCTGCTCCTCACACCTGAGTGTTATTGCCAAATCAAATCACTTTCCAACATATTCAGTATGCAATTATTGTTTTTTAAATTTAATGTATTTTTTTTTTTTAGTTGTAGATGGACACAATACCTTTGTTTTACTTATTTATTTTTATATGGTGCTGAGGATTGAGCCTAGTGCCTCACACATGTTAGGCAATCACTCTACCACTGAGCTTCAACCCCAACCCCAATAATTGTTGTTTTAAAAGAAAGTTTAAATTTTATTTATAACCTATTATTTAAAAATGAGCATAGATATAAGACTCATAATGGAAAATTAAACATAAATTTGAATTTGTAACTAATTTCCTAAAATATCTGTGAAAATATATTATTATTTTAAAAAGGAAAAATTTTATGAACATGTTCACTTTTAACTACCAAGAGTATTTTCCTTTAAATGTGGATAAATACTATATTTTTATTTTTAACTATAAAGAAAATGACCATGAAGTATAAATGTTGTACACAACTACTCTCCTGAATTTAGTCAATACATTTTTTAAAATACATCAATTGCTTCAATATGTACATAATTTTTTATTATACACTAATGACCTAGAAAATACATGAAATATAGAGTTCAAAGTTATAACTAAAAGAAGATGAACTATTTTCCAAATTTACTACATAAATTCAATAGAATATTTACAATAAAATAAATATTTGCTTTAGATAAATTTAATAAGTCTTTGCCTTTATGCTCCATTTCACGACAAGATCTAAACCACCTTCACATACATTTATATATTTACCATGAAATCATGAAAAAAACCTTCAGTTTTAGAAACAAAGCAAAAACCTCAAGCAATCAAATAAGTAAGCCTAATATATTTTATATAGCAGTTGGGATCCACTTCATTTGGGATAAGAGTCCCCCTTAAAATTCTCATTTACATACTTTACACAATACTTTCTATCCAGTTAAGGTATGATTTATTCCTAATATCTATAATAGTATGAATTATATAAAAATTTTAAACTCAATATTTTCAAAGTATTTAGTAAACTCACCATTATACTTAAAGTATGGATAAGCTTTAGTAAAGATTATGACACTTAAAACAAAAGTTGTAGAAGGGGTAACAACACTATTCTAAAAACCATCTGGTTTGTTAAATATTAGCTAGCATGTACAGTTAAAGTCACCAAAGTCATAAAAAGTGCTGAATAACTTGTAGTCAATCATTCACAACATGTTTGAGAATCAAATAAACCTGGAATACTGAATATGCAGGTATCTTTATGCTAAACACCTTTAGCAATGTTTATAAGTTTCACATTAAAAACAGAAAAAAGATATTTCTCTACAGAATTAGTTGACATATAGAAAACTAAAAATAAGTTCCTTATGGTGTAAGAAAATCTAGAATCCAAGTTTGCTTTTACCTTGCCTGGCACTACTGTCAGTATGTCATGGATGTAAACAATTCATTTAGCTGGTCTAGGTATCACAATACCTATTCTCTCAAATATAATCATTCCATTTTTATTCCCATTTTTATTCAGGATTGGATTCATAAACATACAAAAACAAGAATCTTAAAGACAAGCAGAATATTTTTAAACAATTCACCTGGCACTGGAGAAATGTAAATATTATCTCATTCTGCTTTCTGGAATTAAGAACACAGCCAAGTTGGGACTTTTAGATCAAATTGAGCCCTTTGATACATTTAGGATGAATGGGCAGCAGTATATACCAAACAATAACAAAAATAAGGTTCTATTCCGTTAACCTTATTAACAATACTTAAAATTTCATTTCTCATTATACTTATTTGTTAAACTAAATTAATATTTTATACTTACTGAATAAGGAGGGGTAGGCAGTGAAATTTTAGAAATTAGCTTTAATATGTGCCCATTTCTTTTATGAATCAAGTGGAAAATAGAAGTATTAATAATTACTGAGTTATTTTCATCCAAATGTTCACACAAAGGAAAAGGATACGGTAAAGGCACTCGAGATTCAACCTCATAAATATCTTCATCTTGTTCTTCCATCCAAGAGCCATCGAGTTTTACAGTTGCCAAATAGGTCCTGTAAGAATCCATTCTAGAAGATGAAGGAGCCAAGCTTCTTCAATTATCATTTTCTACTACATTTAAAAAGTTCCTTTTAGTTTATCAAGATATTCCATTCTGTTTAGTGCTATCAAATACATAAAAAAATTAATTCATACTACTGAACAATAAAAAGGGTGAAAATGTCTGGCGGGGGGGAACCCTACAAATCTAAAAAACAAAAACAAAACAGAAAGACTCCTAAATGTCTACCAGTCTTTATCCGAAGAATCCAAAATAAAACAACAAAAAACTGCACAAAAACCAAAAGCATGCAAACAAAACACCACTGTTTTACCCAGAATAGGTAAATCCTTGATGAATAAAAGAATGAAAACATAAATGTGTAACATGCTGAGCAATAAAACTGCTTTCGGTATCAAATTTGTCTGTGGTAATAAGTAAGCCTTCCAAGCAGAACCTGGCAGGGAAGGTCAGGTTTTAAATCTCCATAGTAGCAGTCTTGAGAAATGTAGTTGCAACATTATTTCCCTTGGTCTTGCAGCTTCGCCCTATTCAAAAGGAAAAGCTCTTCCAAAGGGAGCTGCTCAAATAGCCTTGCAGGCTGAGCCAGAGGATTCTAGTCAGTGTCCCCTGAGGAAAAGGTCAGAACAGAGGGTGTGGTTTAATGTCTTTACCTATATGTGCACTGACAGGTGGAATGTGAATTAATACGCCCACAAAAAAGCCTGCTTAACAGGATCCAAGTTCCACGTCAGATCTTTGAAAGAGTTATTTAGAGAAGTTTATAATAATGTGTCTAAGATAAACTGGTATTTTTCTACCCTACTAAAAATTGTTTTAGTTAAAAAAATGTGAATAAAATATGTTTGAGTTTACATTACTAATCAGCTATTCAAGCATATCAAATAATCATAATTATTTCTGGAAATTAAATTAGAATTTCTTTTTGATAATTCCTTAGATGTAATACTTTTGAGCAGCCACTGAGGCTAAATATAGATAATTCAGTTATAACTTATTTTCACATTGACTTATTTATAGAGTGCATATTAAGGAAAAAATTCTTTTTAGAGCCACTTTGAAAGTCGATAATTACACCACTTAAGGTAGCCTATGAACCCTGACTGAAATGTAAAAGCGACAAATTGTCCATAATAGTTAGCTTCAGGTTGTTCCAGAAGCCTGAGCAATACTGAATGAACCAGCCATTCATAATTTTAAAAGATAAATAACTTACTTATTACTAATAAAAGACTCTCAATGATTAAAGTTGTTTTAAATAAAAGAAAAGACTTTCATTTTGGTGCCTTTTTTCCCCATCTGGTAACTGAATATCCTAAACCCACAAAGCCTTTATCTAAATGGAAAAAAAACATACTAAAGCAAGTGACAGGCTTAAAAAGGCCTTTTATAGCTACTCTGACTACATAAAGTAGTTTCTAAGAGCTAGTACTTAAACCCTTCTCAGCAGACTAGTAACTGAGGCAGAGAAAATGAAATTGTTTTATATACAAGTCCCAAAGTTGCAAGGAGATGTAGTTGGGGAGGGGCAGTTGCTTCTTAAAGTTCTGAAAAATTTTGTTTATTACAGTTTCTTATATCCTGCAGTTAGTCTGTCAAGTTGTTTTAACACCTATATAAGATGGAGGCCTGACCTTATGACTGTTGCAGCTAAATGTGATTTTTTTTTTAAGAGAGAATGAGAGAGGGAAAGTGAGAGAATTTTAATATTTATTTTTTAGTTATCGGCAGACACAACATGCTTTGTTTGTATGTGGTGTTGAGGCTTGAACCCGGGCCGCACGCATGCCAGGCGAGTGCGCTACCGCTTGAGCCATATCCCCAGCCCAAGCAGCTAAATGTGATTTTAATGAAGCTCCAGCAGACGTAAAATCATCAATACCCTAGCTGTTCACACTTTATGAACTGGTGGATCCCACACCTAGCCTATGAGATCTCTTAAAATACTCTTTCTCTGCTTCTTTTGCAAATTAGTTATTTTGATAATCATCCAATTTCTCTCATTTGAGGTAAAAACAAAACTGTGGGTAAGAAATGATTATTCATAAATAGCAGCATTTAAGTCAACATAAGAATTAACAACAAGGAAAGAAAAAAGAAATAAAGAATAGCTAAGGAGAAAAATAGACTCAAAGAGTAACAGATAAAGATGACCCAGAATGTGGCAAACAGTCTTTGTAATAATATAT